TTATGCTGACATGAGTAAGTTAGATAAGACGTTCATCAACTGTACAATCGCAGCTTTTCCATGCTTATTTAAAGTCTTATTTTCTCAGCGTACCAAGCCGTGACAAGATACACAAGTCAGGTTAGCAACTCAGAGAAACAAATAAGTCCCAAAGTCTTAAAAGGCCTTGATTATTTGGGTCGTAACTAACAGAAACAGCGGTACACGCATGTCTGGTCTCCAGTCTGCCATATAAGTTGGATTTTATCGAGTGAATTGATTGTAAAGCCCGATGAGTCTATGAGTGGTGCTTATCAATGGACCCCATTACACACTTGTCACCCCTGGGGAATTTCTTTGACCATGCAAGTCATTGTCAGCAGACAGCAGTCTGACTAATCAATGAGTGCTTAATTACATCTGGTGCACGGTCCAAAGGTGCAGTAAAACAATATGCCCGCCCTGTCAGTGTCATCCTTTGTAGAGACAGATGGTACTTTAGTCAGCGACATTGTGAGGATGCACTCACAAAAGAATTTGGGACTTAGCTGAAAATGTCAACAGTTGGGGTATGTGACGAAACAAATGTGACAAGACAAGATAAGAATGTCATTTGGATTTCACTCTAAAAAACAATTAGGCTTCTCTTATCACTTTCATGAATCTCTGCGTCTTGACACAATACTCAACAATAGGCCAAAACTTAATGCTTACAGATTAACAGCATCTTCTATTCTCTTCTATGATTTTGCATTGTCCTAAGTAGCATAAAAAGATGATCTCAACAAGTAAAAATCTATTTGCATGTGGGGTTTAATGAAAATGTGCATATTGCTCTGTACACTGTCAACTGAAGCAATCAGTAAGGTTTGCAATGATGATGTCTTAAAAAAATAGTCATAATGTTGAAGTTCTGGTATACCAAACAGTAAATAGTCAGGGTCATCATTATACTGTATGTTATCTTTAGGCAGAAACAGGAAAAGGCCTCTAATGGTTTAGAATAATTCAGTGTCAGAAGACCTGTTGGCTGAGACACCTACTGTATGTAAATCTGTAGGCCATCACTGACTTGATCAGCATAGGGCTGACAACAAAGTGAATTAAGCCTCATCTAAATGTAAATGAGGCGTTATACCTTTGGCAAACAGCTTACATAACCAGTGTCTATTTTAATAAGCCAATTAGATTTTATTCTGTGCCATTCTAACGCAATAAAATAAAATCTGAGCTGTATGAAAATGTACATGGGAAACAGATAGCTGTCGATCAAAGGAAGCAAAAAGGGCACACAACATTGCTGAGTTATAGGTCTGCATACATTTTAAATTAAAATGTCTGCTTGAAGTAACGTGTTTTGGCCATTCAGTCTGGATTGAGAGGAGTTAAAGAGACCTAGGCTGTCGTGAAAGACCAATTCAATAGCTCCAAGAAATAAACATGGCTCTTCAACATTCAATACATGTGGCAGGAGCTAACACACTAGTCTCCAATTTCCTTCCTGTGATTGGTAACATAGATATCAGACTGAATTTATGAGGAACAGGAGCTCATTTTATAAGCCTTACTGGTACTTCAGGTATGCACACTGTCCTATGAAGTGTGAATAAGGGCTCTAAATCTACTATATAAACAATATGGTATGTGCCTGGTTAGATGAACCTCGAAATATTATAATGGTAAAATCTTCAACCTATGACAAGACTTAATATATATATAATAATAAGTAAACAGACTTTACAATTCAAGTGTGCGTTTTCTCTGGAACAGCAGACATCGGGTTCAAATCTTTAGCCAAGGACTGTCTTGAAAATTAGAAAGTACTCTGTTAAATTTGTGTGCAACACCAATGTTTAGAAATTATATGATGAAGTAGGTATCCAAATACAAACACTGTATATAACATTGAAGTCAGAAGTCTTTCACTTCATTAAAAAATAACAGTTTCACCGATGTCAAGCTTGTTTGCGTTCCAGGGTAGCTCAGCGATTGTATTTAAAGGAAATCAATAGTGAAAGATTTTTACCTCATAAATCCTCATTAATCACATAGAAATATACTTTTTATAAAGCTAGCCCAACATGCATAAAAGCAAGAGGGGTTATTAAGATCCCAATTTATTTTATAGTAAGAAGTTCAGCTTTTTATGTTGTTAAAAGGTCCACTGTGTAACATTTAGGAGGCTCTATTGTTAGAAATGGAATATAATATTCATATGTTTTCTATAGTGTATAATTATCATTATATGTGTCATTATACCCAGAAGGGACAAACGCACCACTGGTTCTAGAGAGAGGCGTTTTAATGCATTTCGCAGCCACTGTAGTTTCTCCTTCGCACTTGGAAGGGGAGGGGGAAGCGAGTTGCAACTTGTACAAAATTCACCGATCAGCCATAACATTATGACCACTGACAGGTGATCATACCATACTACACTAAAATGATAGTAGTCCAGTAGTTTGTACGCACTTCTCAATACTTTTTTTGCACTTCTAGACACTTTTAAAGGCCACAGAGGGTGTGCAGGTTTAAGAAAGAATAACTTCATTGAAGAGGTTTACAATAAATAGAAAACTATCAGAGGATGATAATTGCGTTGTACGAGTTCAACAGGCATACACACAGAGTATACTGTGAAAGAACTATTATAAACTAATATTAAGGCTCACTTTAAAGTAAGGCGAACAAAATCAGTGATGCTTAAATGAAACAGCAACAGGGCATTAATTTGACATTAGCTGGCAAACATCAATTCATCCCCCATTCTAACTTTAGTAATGCATTTACTGGAAAGAGATTAATATCAATTCCATAAATCATTCAGGAGATACATCCGGAGCCAGAGACACTGGTATGTTAGCTGATCTCAGTGTGGGAGCTCAGCGCCCATTAATCAATGTCTGAGCTCCTCTGGCCATGTCATCTGGGAAAAAAGGCAAATTTATAAAAAGGGCAATCATCACACTGATATCTCAGCACAATCCTCCTAATGTAATATGTTTAGATCTTTACACACAGTACTAAATCTCTGTACTCACCTTCACATGCCTCTTGTCCACTGTGTACAAAACTGTGGATTAGGTTCCCTATTATTTGTATCACTATATTTGCCCATACAAGATTAGTTTTCCTCTTATGAATGCACTTTGCAGCATGTCATCCCCCCTCTCTCTCCCTCTTGTTCTGTCTATCTTGAGCTGCCCTGCCAAATAAAGGCAACCCCCCCCAAAAAAAAAATCTATCTATATTTAAAAAGAAAAAAAAATGTATTTACTTGTGATCAGCTGACCTCTAACACTTTGAAAATCAAGTGTATCAGAGACAACATAATAGTAAAAATTTACTTTGGAGGACAACACTGACAATGACACCAAGGCCAGACATCAGAAAGTAAACAGGGTGAAGTTAAAGCTCATCTCAGTCTGCAGGAAAAAAAATGGGCTTGTCTGTGGAAATATGAAATCTGAGTGCCATCTGAACCTAATCTCCACACAGAAATTCAGTCCCAGAGCGACCCACTGATTCCCTGATTTACTCTGCCTACTTGTGTGCTTGAGCGCATGCCTGTGTGTGGGTCTAACCAACTGACCTTGTCAGTGGTGAGAAAGTACTTTATTTTCATTGTCGTGTCATTCAGCTGTCAGAAAAAGGCAGCAAACAAAGGCCATTAACAAACAACATTAACTTACTGTATGTCTTACTCCCAAAAAGAGTTGGTGAAGGTAACAGGGCGATCACCTTTTCAAGTATACTTAATATATTCATCTTTTTAGCCATGCTGGCGGTGTAGGGATGGCAAGGTTTGTTGGTCAGCGTCCACGTAATAACAACAAAAAGTCAATATGGATATTACTGTAATAGAGTATATACTGCATAATGCACAGACAGAGTATATTGGTATATATTGATATATCGAAAATGAGCAAATGAACACCATTCCTGTAGCCTGTACATGTCCAGATACAGACACATGCATTTATGTACACACACAGTATATACAATAAGTATACACATGAACAGCAAAATGATTCAAAAATATTGTTTTTGTTTTTCGGATCGGATTATGCCGTAACACAGGGAGAATATAGATAGAAAGTGGCTGCAAGAACATCTCAAAAAGCATCTGTTTTTACAACCCTGTGCTGGCTTCTAGTTATATAGTAATAAAGATCTTAAAATCCTAGGACTTGACTATAAATCTTCATGTGATCTTGGTCTTGGTCATGGTCTTCATAAAGCTCTCAGATCCCCCAATTCACAGTTGCTATACCCAAAACCTGACTGTAAATACAATTATTATTATTATTTTTATTATTATTATTATTATTGGTAGTATTAGTAGTGTTATTTGGGGCTTATATCTTGATGAAAATGGGAAAAATAAGAAGCCTGGTATAAGAAAACTGTATGTAGATCCAACTGATTTCTTGTTTATTCTCAGACTTTATAAATACATCACATCTAATGAACAGAGACTGTGGACTGGAACATAGCCTGATAAGGCTGGAGAAATAAGATGGTGCTAATCCATATAAAAATTTGAAATTCAAAAAAAGGACCTTGATGTCAGTTCTGGTTTGAATAGTCAGCCAATGTAATGAGGCTCGAATTTGTATACTGCGGTCAAATGTATTTGATCTACCTGTAATGAGATTTCTAGCTGAGGTATTTTGAACAAAGTGGAGGTGTTTGGTGGAAACTTCAGGCTGGAGTAGGTGGCATTAAAATGTTTTATTTTTGTTGAAGCAAAGCAGTATGACAGAGTTTCTGTATCAGGTACTGAGACAATGGGATGGATTCTAGTTGTGAGTGAAGTTTTTGTAAAATGAGATAAGAAAACAGATGCTGCAAATTTGTATCGCAATCAAAATAAAGGGTCAGGTGTGAAAATAACTGTGACTGTGGGAACAGTTAGGGTCGTATTTGCTTGGGAAGAGACATGGAACTGCTCTTTTTATGTTTGCAATTGGGTATGTTCCACATATTTTACTGATGCAGCATTCCTAAAGTTTATTACTCACCACTCTCAAAGCAAGCATCAAAAACCAGATGTCCTTTTCGCGGAGCTCCTGAGTAACCTGGTGGGCTCACCATCAGTTTGTTCACATTCCCCACCAAGGCATCCTCTCCTCCGGTTTCACTGCCTGAAGAACAAGTGCAATAATATGAGTCTCATTTCATTCAAAGGGGTTGTGTAAAATGTGCCAAATAAGTTTTTTCTAACTTAACTTTAAAGGATGTAAGCCCTTAGCCTGTAGCTAATCCATAAGTATCTCATAACACAGAACTAGATTGTTGACCTTAAAGTAAGAACGTTATGCAACCACTAAATTATGTGTAAAAAAAATTTAAAAAGGGGGTTCATATTATTTCAAGGTTAAATGTTGCGTCTTAGAAATACTGATGTATACATATAACTTTTCTGTGTGGAGTTTTGTAAATGTTAATCTATAAATAAACAGTGATCTGCAGGGTAAAATGGAGTAACACAAATAAATAACAAAGAAGTTTGAAAGGAATCTTTATTTTTTGTTAGCACTACAAATGACATTTGCACTTAAGCATGTGGACATTGAATTTACACAGCGCTGCTTTAATGTGGGGTTTTCTTCACTGTTTTTGCATAAATAACTTTTGTTAGTAATTTTCTTTTTGTATTAGTAACAGTTACCGGGGCGGCAGTAGCTCAGTCTGTAGGGGACTTGGCTTGGGAACGGGAAGGGCCTCGCCGGTTCAAGTCGCCACAGACTACAAACATATGGAGTGTGACTGGTAGCTGGAGAAGCCGGTCCCACGTCTTCACCTCCTGTGCAATGCCGAGGTGCCCTTGAGCAAAGGCAAACTACCCCGAAAGCTGCTCTCGAGGCGCTGGTAATCGCAGGCAGCCCCAATCCTCACCATTCTCTCTCTTTGCATGTCCACATGTGCGATAAGTGTGGTGCATTTCAGCCTCTGTGTGTGTATAAAAAACAGATCTATAAAGTATATCTTCTTCTTCTTTATTAGTTAAACACTTTTTTTGAACAGGCCAGTATATTTCAACACAGACTTGGCCTTGAAGTGCTGGATGGTTATCTACTTAATGAGTTGATATTCATTCTGACTGTGTTGTTAGGTGTGTAAGTTTACATTTGTATGCATTTGTGAAATTGTTATTTCTAAAACATACAAATGATAAATACTTTAATTTAAAAAAAGTAAATAAATCCTCTGCAGCAACAGAAAAGATCACAAACTAGTGTTAAACTTTGTATTTAAAGATCTGTTTGTTAATTGACACATTCACATTAGAGGCAGAAGCACAGTAGTGTTTGGATTATTGTGAATACTGGAAAAAAAAACATTTTAATATAGTTAAACTGTCCATAAATCTTCCCAAGCAACAGAAAATATCACAAAGTTAGATTTGTTTCTGGTATTAATCTTTGTATTTAAAGACCTGTACATTATTTTTAAGCACAAATCTGCGTTATGTATTTATGAATGCAGCGCTACTGTTGGAATTTAATATCGGATTGTGGCTTTAATGTAGAGTAAGAGACAAAGCCCAAGTAGTTGAGGTACCGACAGATAGCAGTTCACTGGAGCAGCTGTCCCTCACTAATGCAGGTAACACAGCTAGCTAGCAGACACTCAGCAATACACCTGTACAGCTGCTGAACAGGTTAACGTTAACATGCCAGCAGGTTTTGTCCTTCCGTTAGTTAGTACAGTTAGTTAAATGGCTGGCTAACGTCGGTAGCAGTGAAGCTAGCTCATAACAAGCTAGTGACATGACCATTGTTTACATCCCTGCACCTGCTAGCTAGAAGGTTAGCACACTTTACGTTAGCGTCGGTATAAAGACGCGCGGCAAGCCCGAAACATGCAGCTAATTATCGGTCAGACAACTGGGCATTATCCGCTTCCCTGCGCTTGTATAGCAACGAAGGGGAAGCCCGGTAAGGCTCGTTATTTACACACCAGTCTCGACGTCTCTAACAGTGCTCTCCTCCATCTTCCTTTCCATTCTGTCACACAGCAGCGGACGCTCTGTGTGTTGCCACGGTAACGGAGCAGGAGGACGCGGGAGAGGCGCCGTCATCTCCATCCGTACACCGCTGCACACAGGCAGTGCGTGTAGGTAAGATGAGCCAGGTTCAGTGGTTGGATCGTTACGCACAAACATACCAGAGTGACAACAGACGCAAACTGCAAAAAACAACACAAAACAAAACAGCAAAGTCCACTCAGAAGTGCTGATCAACGTCATTTCATGTACTGCTAATTTCTAGTCTCAAGCGGTCAGTGTGGCTCAGGAAAACACGTGTCCTAAACATATAGCTCTGACCCGTTCCCTGTCTGAGCATCAAAATTAATTCCCAAAATGTACTGAATTAATTGTAAATATTGTTATTATAATCAGGGGAGAACTTCATATGCCAGTGTGCGACATAGTATACATCTGACATTTGCATTCTACAGGTGAAACTAAACTATAATATTACACTACTTGTAAACTGTAATCAGTACATTGTACACACCTCAGTCTTATTGCAGCCATACCTGCATTTTTAATGTTTTTTTCAGAGACAAAAGCCAATCATTGCAGGCAGAAGCCAGGGATTCTGAATTATCCTGTAGATTGATTAAAGCTGGAGGTTTTCTAGACAATTGGAGCATAGATGTCATCAAGGCCAATCAAGCCTGGCCCTATTCCTTTCCCATTACAAAGGCTGCACCTGATTAAGTACATCAAATGAGCAGTCGCACAAACTCCTGGAGCAAGAGGCATGCAGGCTGCTGCTAATTTTCAGGTTATAAGCTTTGTGTAACAGGACCAAATGAATAAGACCAGGGAGAGGGCAATAATTTTTCTCTCTGTGTGTGATCTGTATTTGATGGCAAGCATCAACAGGCTGCTGAGTAGATAGGTTGGACTGATTACTTCTCAGATGACAGGAAGAGAATACAGAGCTGCTGTGTAATATTTCGTTAAAATTGAAAATTGAATAGCTGTCCTCCATGCTATGTCATTTCTTTAACACTATGCCAATTAAAGAGCTCTATGGTGGTACAATCATTCATTTTCAAGAGGGAGATTGAAATTGAATTATGGTGCATGAGAAGAATGAATTAGATACGCTACATGTTTCCTTGTTTCTCAGCTCTTATCAAATGGAGAGACTGCATAGGAGTAGTTAAATTTACCACAAGATTGCCACATGGCTTGCCTCTGCTGGAGTTGGAGCACTTTAGATACTGTTTGTAACCTGATCTATTGGCTGGAACTCATTCTTGGCTGCTGGCTTATGAAAGAAATTGAGTAAGATCAACGATTCTGATATTATTGCACTGATAACTAGTAATACATAACAGAAATTAAATATAATATTCACAGGTATGTTTTCATTGGTGTAAATCACCTGAAAATAACAATTGTTGTGTTTTTGTTTTGTAGAATGTCAAATGTCAGACTCTAACTTCATAACTCCAGAGTCTGTGGTGCCTTAATGAGGATAAAATGTACAGGAGTTTATTACAGCAAAGCTCTGAATTGCATGAAGTCTTTTTTTTTTTTCTTGATGGCTTTTCTTTTCTTTTAAAGCTCCATATTCTATGTTGATGTGTCCTCCATTAAAACATGTCTGAAGGAGGAGAAAAAATAGCAACACTTTCAACAATGCCCTCTCTTCTTTCCACCCAAGTACCACTCTACATGCATGCAGTGCGATTCTTGTCATGATGTTTGCAAACTGCAGCAATGATTTAATGAACACATCCATCACTGGAAAACTGAATAACATGAAAGAGGAGTACAGTCCACACTGTGTTCTCTCAAATATTAATTATCTCTCAGGAGAGTATATTTCCACATGCTTATCAAAACAGATTTGACCTCTAATGATTTCTGAACATATGAATGTGCTTCACGTGTAGATATTCCTGTCATAGATTAATACAGGGTCTACAGTAACATTAAGAAATCGTGGCTATTTTAAGCGTGGGTGGCTAGTGACTGTAGGACTCACCGCACCATCACAATCCCATGCAGAGCATATCAGAAACCCCTTGGGGAAACAGAAGCTTTGGCACAGCAAAGGTATTTTTAAGCCTTGCTTTTCATTCTCTTAGAGAGATACTTTTTCTTCTAAACTGTAAAATGATCAAATAAGTCAGTGCTTGTAGCTCAGTAGCATAACTGAAAGAGGGGAAAAAAGAAGACACAAAGAATTTCTTGTTTATGTTTCCAGCCTGAAGCTTGATGTGTTTCTGTGTGTGTGCTGAGGGAGCAAATCTATGTTTTTGTATTTGTATTCCAGCAAGTACAGGGAAACCCTTTTTACTCTGGTCAGTTAAGGCCTTCCACACATAGTCCATCATCAATGAAGGAGGAAGTCATGCAAAAATCAAAACAGAAGTGGCAGCGAGTTGGCGCCGGGTGGTTGCGAGAGGCAGGGTGGGGTGTTTAAGG